CTAGATCTACATTAGATAGAGTCTAGTATTTAGTAGCCCATCATCATCATGCCAATGTAGATCTATGTGGTAACAATAGATCTATGGGCCTGTTCGTCTGTTCGCAGTGTCACTGAGAATAGTTTCTTGGCCTATTCTCAGTGGCACTGGGAACAATTCTCGCCTTGGCCTATAGCCAGTGGTTTCTGGACCTCTTCCCAGTGTTACTGGAAATAGTATCTGGGCTTATTCCCAGTGACACTGGGAATAGTTTCTGGGCCTATCCCCAGTGTCAGTGGGAATAGTGCTTTCCTTGTATATTTGGCAACTTGGAAACACATTTGTCACTTTCCCCATAAAACTACAGCAGCTACAGCGTTGAAAGTTGGCAAGTACCTCCATAAAGATTGATAGGTCCCCATGACGGAGCCCGTTATTTATTTCCTGAATTTAGACAAATGTATTTTACAAGAAATTACCGTCCTTCTTTGGCCTTTGTGATTATTCCCCTGAGAAACGAAACAAATCTGCGTAGCTGTTCTTCACAACGGAAGTGCCAGAAGTGATATTTCGCAAGGCGCATTTTTTTTTTGAGAGTATAGATCTAGACCTTCTATTTGTTTGTATCTCTCAAGATTTATTGCTTCATTCCAGTAGAGTGTACATATAGTAGGCCATTGACTTTCAGTTGATGTTAATACCCTATGATTCCTTTCATCGAAAGGGGGCCCAGCTAGTTATAAATACATTATTATTCTGTAAAGGTTGAACGCCTCTTTCAACACTGTAGGTATTTTGTTTGTTTTGTTTGGTTTGGTTTTGTTTTTTTCTCTTTTTGTTTTTGGTTGTTTGTGTTTTTTGTTGGGGGGTTTTGGTTTATTGTTTGTTTGTTTGTTTGTTTGTTTGTTTTTGTTTTTTTTTAAGGTGGGACCTCCGATTTAAATTTCCACATCTGATAGGACCGATCCAAATGGGTGGAAAGCCATACAAGCTCCCTAGTTCAACCCAAATTGAGAATACCCCTTTGGGAACTTGAACCGAGGCCATCCGCTCCGTAGGCCACATAGTACCGACTAGGCTAACAGAGTACCCAACATAGCTTGACTGTACTTTGTATTTGTACCCAGATATTTGTTAACGACCACACATGTGATTTTCTCGAGACGTGATCGTGTTTTTCCCGCAGAGAAGCGTCAAACGAGTGTGCTCGTAGTTCTCCTGCGTTGTCCACTTTGTTGCAACAACATTTTCTTCCCGTTAACACCTTGCAATATCTTTCCTGTGGTGGTCGTGTTTCGACGAACTCGAATTATTCAAAGCGCATTCTGTCTTTCTCCCAGTTCCGTGAGGCCAGTGGCCAGTCATTTGATTACTTAAAGCCACGCGGTTCTCCGTAAGGCGCAGAAACTCTCCTGCTGTAATATCTACTTAGTGTGGTCAGGACACAATGTTGATCTTTGTAAGCGTACGCGAAGAAACTCTTCTGCTGTAGATCTAATGTATACGTAGCGTAGTGAGGACACAGTCCAGGTCGCTACCTCAGAATCATTTTGTCCAAAGTGTGCACAAAGTAAAGAGGCACTTTAGACTAAATAATTCTGAGGCGAAGCGGTGTTTGATACTTTACTCCCCCCCCCCCCCCCCCCACTTTCCCCCTTGTCGTTTACGTGTCTCGGTCCTGATTTTTCTTAACTTAACGCTAAATTACTATTATAGTTGTGTCGGTTTGCTTCTATTTACTTGAAGTAAACTTAACAGAAACAGGACGTGTCGCTTTAGTTATGACAGGCCATCATCACAACGTTGACCACCAAGAAAAAAAGAAAACCAAAACACCATAAAAGACAGCAAGAGATACTATATATGCATAAACTCGGAGATGATCAGGGGCAGGCTCAGATCATATGCATCCTATATGAAAAATAGGCTCTATCAACTCTACAATACTAACCGAAGAGGAAGCTTAGGACACCTTCAAAATAACTCTCCTGGACACCATGAAAGAAGTCTGTGGTACCAAGAAGACAAGAGGGAAACAGCCTGGTGGAACGAAGAAGTTAAGGATGTTATCACTATCAGGGAAAAAAGAGACTGTATAATGTATGGGTCACGCAAAAACAAAAACAAACAAAGAAGATAATATTAAATATAGACTTGCAAGAAGACACAGTGAGAAAGTAGTTATAACATCAAAAGAAAGGCATGGACCCAGTAGGGCGAAAAGCTAAGTGAAACCTGTAAGACCTCACCAAGAGAGTTCTACAAGAAAGTGAAGACAATGAGAGTGAGAGACGAATCCTATGTATCCTCCACTGTCATCAACGATACTAATGGAGAAGCTCTACACAAACAGAAGGAAATTATAAAGAGATGTGAAGAATATTTTCAAGAGCTACTAAACCCACCAGGAGTACAGGCACAAAACACACAGTACCCCTTCACTGTCAACTACCCAGAGCACTCAGAACGTACCATCCTTGAGAGTGAAGTGAAAAAAGCACTGAAGACTAGTCCAAAGAACAAGGCAGCTGGAGACGATGGCATCACATCCGAAGCCACCCTTGCATGCGGTGAAACCAGAATACATTGGCTTACAATCATCTTCCTGAAAGCCTGGAAAGAGAGAAAAGTACCAGCAGACTAGCAAAATGCGATAGTAGTGCCGACTAGCAAAATGCGATAGTAGTGCCAATATGGAAGAAAAAGGGCAGCAAGAAAGACTGCAACACCTACAGAGGCATATCTCTTCTCAGCCATGCGGGGAAAATGTATGCAAAGATCCTAGAGCGACGCATTCGCGCTAAAGCCGAACATCTTCTCAGTGACGCCCAGTTTGGTTTTAGAAAAGGAAGAGGGTGCACTCATGCAACTGTGTGGGAGGGCTTTGGGATACGACCAAGATCTCCATCTCGTATTTGTGGATCAAGAAAAAGCCTTTGATCGAGTAAATAGAAAGAAGCTATGGAAGATCCTGGAGCAGTACGACATCAAGAGACAACTGCTAGACAACATCAAGGCTATCTATGCCAACAGCAGAAGCGCAGTCCGCACTACCAGTGGAACATCGCACTGGTTTCCAGTAACATCCGGACTTAGACAGGGCTACAATCTCTCCCCTCTGCTCTTCGTGATCTAAATGGACCAGATTACAAAGGAGATCAATCCAGACCCAGAGGCACTCAACGAACTCATGTTTGCAGACGACCTGACAATGATGAAAAACAAGACCCAGCTACAGGAACATATTATGAACCAACTAAATGCGAGCTGCGAGAAATATGACACGAAGATCAGTATTAGCAAGACCGAAATCATTACAATTAGCAGGAAACCAGACAAAGTGGATATTAACATCAATGGATCCCAACTAAAACAAAACAGCGAATTCAAATACTTTGGCAGCATTTCCAAAAACAAATTGAAAATTAGATCGAGAAATAGAGACTAGATGTCAGAAAGCCAACGCAGTCAGCTATCAACTCAGCCCTCTCCTGGAACATCCCAATATCCCCATGATCATCAAGCCGAAGCTCATCAACGCCATTTTCCTTCCAACGCTCACATATAAGTGCCAGACATGGTCCCTAATAAAAAGCCCTAGAGAGGAAAATGGTTACATGCGAGATGAAATGCTTAAGAAGAGCGGTCAACAAAATAAGAAGACACAAAATAAAAAATGAATTCATAAGGAACACCGTAGGAGCAACACCAGTCCTACCACACATTGAAAAAAAAGGTCAAATGGCTCGGACACCTCACGCAGATGGCCTCAAACCATCCAGCTCTGAGAGCGTACAACATTAAATATTCTGGCTGGAGAGCCAGGGGAAGACCAAGGTGACGCTGGAATGAATCTGTAGCAGACACTCTCAGAGCCCACGGGATGTCTCTCCCACAGGCCACTCGCCTTGCTGCAAACAGACGCATGTGTCTCCCCGCGATACCCACCGGTACAAGAGGAAGAAAAGAGTAAAAGTAAGTAAAGTAAGTATCGCAATTCGACATTGTCCCAGATTGGCGCCCATTGGCGTGAGAAAACTGGAGATCTGAGACTGGTGAACGTACTAATTGGTCAGTGCCAATATAGTATCTACAACAAATAAACGCATGGGGTGTGAGCAATGTTTCGGGGGGAGGGGGGGTCCTTGGACGAGTGATTGTGATTGCCTTGGATAGGTGGCCGTTAGAGCAGGTTCGACTAGGTATTATTGTTTACTGATCTCTCCTGAATATATGAACGACCAAACCCCCATCTTTGCTTTTGGAGTAGCATGATGATGATGATGATTTTTTTTTTGGTTCCTTAATGGACCTGGCGGACTCTACTTCGAGCGAGAGCGAGAGCGAGGCTCTTTTTCGGCTCCATTGTCAATATGCTTAGCGGCACCTCCACTCGTCCAAATAGCTCCATTCGAATTGCCATTGTTCCTGGACATTCAAAAATATGTTTGACTTCCTCCTTTTCATGACCGCATCTTCGGCAACATAGGCTGAGCTCTTCATTTACAAAGTTCTTATACCATCTAAAGCTCCAACGATGGTCCGACCGCAGTCTCGCTAGCTCAACCTGGTCCCAGCGACATGTGATATTTTGTTCCTGCTTATAGGAGTACCCAAAATACACATCTTCCAGGTGCTGGTACTTAGCTCTGCATGGTGGTTCTCTGATTTCCCTCTTGATCATTGGAAAGACTCCTCTGATTGTGGTTGGTCGTCTGTCTCCTTCCATCTTTCAGGCTTCATTAGCAGCTTGCAGGTCTGCTGCCTCATTTCCTTCTATTCCAACTCAAAGTGGCAAGCCGTCCCCTTCACGATGGGGAGTACCGTTCTCAACGAAGACAGCCACAACCAATTGAGGAAGCTCTGATGATGATGATGATGATGATGATGATGATGATGATGATGATGATGATAATGATGATGATGATGATGATGATAATGATTAAATTTTAAATTTAGCTTAAGCTTTTTACTCAAAAGTTTCTTTTTCCTCTTCCACTTTTTTCGTTTTACTCAAGAACATACTACACCCCAGTGACCTCCTATCTAAATTATGCGTTTCTTCTTTTTGATTCAGTCTGATATGCACGGGTGACTCCGTGAGCTCACATTTCATCTGATCCGATCTGGTCGGCCTTATTTGGCGGACGATTGTTAACCGTCAGACAACTTTACACTTGCGGCTTCTGTCAAGGGAAGAATTGTTTACAGTTTACAGATTGGTTTCCTCGCTTCTCCCTGCCCCCCCCCCCTGCCTCGCTGATACGAGTCTCGGAGATATTTACTGGATCGCTGCCTTCCACGGTTATCGTAGTTTATGTACAGATGTAGTCAGAAAGTCTAGGGGCCTTCGATTCTATACAAAATACAATTTAAAAAATGATATGATAGCCGGAGAGAGAATTTTTGGAGAGCGAATACGAAAATGTAAAAATAATAATAGATAATAATAATGATAATAATAATAATGATATAATAATAATAATAATAATAATAATAATAATAATAATAATAATAATAATAATAATAATAATATTAATAATAATAATAATAATAATAATAATAATAATAATAACAATTCTTCTTCTTCTTCTTCTTCTTCTTCTTCTTCTTCTTCTTCTTCTTCTTCTTCTTCTTCTTCTTCTTCTTCTTCTTCTTCTTCTTCTTCTTCTTCTTCTTCTTCTTCTTCTTCTTCTTCTTCTTCTTCTTCTTCTTCTTCTTCTTCTTCTTCTTCTTTTCTTTTTATTATGTATTATTATTATTATTATTATTATTATTATTATTATCATTATTATTATTATTATTATTATTATTATTATTATTATTATTATTACATTTCCTCACATTTATATACAGCTATTCCACTAAGAAATTGCTCATTACCCTTTACAACAATACACAAACTACAGAGCATCAATAGTGATTCTTTTACCCCCTCCCCTCTCTCGCTCTCTCTCTCTCTCTCTCTCCCTCTCTCTCTCTCTCTCTCTCTCTCTCTCTCTCTCTCTCTCTCTCTCTCTCTCTCTCTCTCTCTCTCTCTTCTATAAATACCTCTTCACATTTTAGTTCCCATGACTTTATTCTGAACGACGTCCAAGTTTCTAATTTTTACTGCGCCATTTCTTTTTTTTAAAAATGAAAGTTAACTTGTGACCTACATACTCGCTTGACTGCGATTTCATGACTCCCACGCCCGCCTCTATCCACCAACCAAAGACCTGTACCTTGACGCAAACTTAACCTGTACTATTCGGGGCATGTGTCCCCAACACACATTTAGATCTAGATCCAATAAATTATAGCCCCATTAGTCAGTATACCCAGGCAAGCGTTGCTTTGCTTTGTTTTGCTTGTGTGATAGATCCTCCATCTCCACAAGTGATTGGAGGCCGTTACTGATGGTAGGTCCTGTTTCAATAGAATTTATTTTTCTCTGTGATATTTCTGTTTGCCTGTTTAGCATACTCTATCCCAGCACTGAACTACCGTTATCGTGACGATGTGCTTCTCTTTACCGAAAAAAACAAAACAAAATGTAACCCCCCCCCCCCCCACACACACACACCCTCCCACACACATACCTTCTTCCCTCCGCAGGTAGTTCATAGGTTGCTTTGGTGTGGTTGTGATTTGCTCCTTCTGTCCTGTCAAACATATTATTGATATCTTCCTTATCTCTCCTCCTTCTTTCCTATCAAACACATATATATATACATTTAAAAAAAAAAAAAAAAAAAAAAAAAAAAATATATATATATATATATATATATATATATATATATATATATATATATATCGTCCTTATCGCTTCTTTTTGTGTCTATTACTCTCTTGTAAAACCTCTATCTTCGACACTTATATGACCTTATTGTGTAGCAAATGCCATAAAACGCTTACTAAAACTAGAACCCCCCCTCTCTTTCTCTCCTACTGCGCATTACTATCAGCTCCCGGACAGCCACTCCTGCGAGACTTTGAGTCAATTACTCTCCGCACGCTTATGTGCCACATCACGGTCACCTCTTTTAAAAGTTAGCCTATTTTATTCGACGTTGTGTAATCAGGCGCTCGTCAATTTTGAGGCACATGAGGTTGTTGGTATAATCTTAAAGCCTGTACATTTGCCTTGCTTTTGTTGAAAAAAAGATCCATCTATGTTGAATAGAAGTCAAACTATTTGCTTTTGAAGGAGGCCAGTGTTTGCCTGGTTTCAGAGGTAAAATTCGCGAGAAAATGGCCGCCAAAGTTTGGTAATTTCAGGGGCGGCTCGTGGGTCTAAAAAGTGGGCGTGTACAATTAAGCTATCTTAGGCTGAAGATAATCAAGGGCAGAGTAAATGGGACGGTGTATAATTTTAGGATCTTTGGGTTGGTGAAGGAAGACCTTGTGCTTGTATTTTCATTCTTTTTACTTGTGGCTTTGACTTCTAGAACTAAATCTGTTTGTTAGCTAAACGTCAATTTCATTCATTCTGCCTTAGAACTGAACACTCAAGTAATACCTTTCACCACTCCACTACAAAACCGTTCAAAAGCACAACTCATAGGACCGCGACTAAAGTATACCACTATCACCTCCCTCAGGTTCACGGTCACAGAGTCACTTAAAATAGCAACAAGACAATGAACCAATCACAATTCACTT